CAAATTATTCGAATTGAAAGAAGTGAAGAAATGTGAATGCGAGATAAAATGCGCGCCAGAACTCAAGAGACTGCTGATCTATGAATTCGAACGATTCAGTCCGATCCGCTGCATCTGCCACGTGCCCCCGTATTACGGCATAATGTGTCACTGTGCCACGGCCGCTCCACCCCTCTCTTCAGCCCTTCAGCGACGCCTGCAGCTTCAGCCGTCGGCTCGATCGCGCGTGTATGGAATCCTAGATTTTGGAAACTCGGTGGCCCGAATAGTACCAGCTGAATGCAGGTCGCGCTGGTCCTCGGGGAGGAAAATGCATCGGAGAGGGTGAGGGAGACGGTTTTTCAACATGAATTCCCCCCACTGGTCTCCAATGCGTTTCCCATCGTACGCACTCTTCTCAACACGTCTCTACTCTCTGTTTTCTGAATCAACGAGCGAATCCATGATGCAACCTCGGATGAGTCGTGAAAATATTGTCTCTTTTATGATGCTCCGTGACACTTTATCCGACGTGGCAGTCCTTCGGGACGTAAAAATGTGTGTGTTACCGAAATAATGTTTTATCGATGACTCCGAGAAATTGATAAACTTTGAAACTTGCGAGATTTTTGCCTTTGGCAAATTATTGATTTCTTAACAATTATAAAGTTTCAACGGTAAAATTACTATAATAACAAAATAGTATGACAATTAGAAGAATAAAATTGTGACTGTATGTGTTATAATTATGTACAGGATAGGAGTCAAATAATAAGACACGAAGAACGATGAAACAGTGAGATTTAATAATAAAAATAGTTTGACAAAGCAGTCAATTCGATGGAACATTCGATAACTGTTTATTAAAATGTGATTGCAAGGATCGGGGGCATAAAATTATGCGAAAACACATACAATACAAAGAGTCATCATTCTCTTCTCTTCTCTCTTATTCACAATAGGATTCGAAATTGGCAGCCATATTTATATATATATATAATAATAATAATATGATATAATAATTATTATAATTAATGGCATCTTCTTTTAAACGCGCGTAATACTTACAAAACAATTTATATATCATATTTGTACGCAAACGCTGTATCTTTTTCTTTCATTCACAAATCATCGTTTATTTTATCCTTGCTTCTTCTGCTATTCTCTCTCTTTTTTTTTTTTGTTTAAATCTTATTTATAGGAATATTACTTAAAATCAGTCTTGTGGTTGAGATATATTAGGTGTTTGGTGAGGTAGTGACAGTTTCATAGTATACGTTCAGTGCCACTTGGTACGCTATTCCGTGCTATACTATCTCACGTACGTATGCATACATGTATTAAACGTTGACGACATATACGCAGTATATACGCAGTATATTATTTAATACACATGCGGTATCGTTCTTGGAGATTCAACATCTTAGACAACATAAAAAAAACATTTATTGTCTAAAAGTCATTCGTGAAACATCTAAAAAGAAGTTTTATATTTTTTTCAGACGTCTTCCCGATGTCTTTCAGACGTGATCAGTTATCTGCGATTTGTGAAATCACCATCAACGATTACCAACAATAAGTTCGCAAATAAGTAACGTCGCACGTTCACGATAACAACCGAACGCGTTCCAAGCGGCCACATACATATTTTTGCTACACACAGCATATCGACATTATTAGATATATTTCTTCGTAAGACCGTGTTTATCCGTTTAATCGTAGGCGTAAGGTCTGAATTTGTACCGTGTCTCGTTACGTGCGCGTGAATTCGAGCGTATGCCATTCGCCGGCGGAGCGGAGGCTGACGCCGTCATAGAATTCGCACGCGTTCGAAATCGCGCACACTTCGCTTGGCTGTACAAAATTATAGATGTCATTCTAGTTACATATAGGTACAAAGAAGTATACATAATCGTAGGTACGTTTTATTCGAGCGACCGGGATATGAAATACGGATATTAGTGTGAAACGACGATTTGTTCGATCAAACAAATTACATGCGCTGTTTACAACAACCAAGAGATTTGCTACTCAAATATAAAAATAATATGTGTGTAAGGAACAAGAAGAAAAATATCTTTATACAAATTGTAATAAACAGCATGTGTGTGTGTGTGGTAGTATCTAATTATTTTATATTACTATGGACACAAACATTTTCAATTAAGTACATTTACTGAAGATTGATTAATCTTAAGTAATGAAATTAAAAGAACTGTTATGGTACAATATCACAGGTAATGAAAAAAATGTTTTTATAAAAAATAAACTTGTTATGTTATATGGATTTATTTAAAGATTATCTATTTTTTTTTTTTTTTTTTTATATATATCAGAATAACCGATGTTTCCAGCATCTCTATTATCTTCATATATTTGTAGGATTAGGTTTACATTTTCTCTCCTCACATTTCTATTTCTATATTTCACCAAATGCATCAGAGAACCTTCATCCGTAGGACATAATCCCAGTTCACGAGCACACCTTGCGTTAGCACATACGTTACAACTACTCGACACAAATATATAATATGTATATGTAATTTTTGCACGTCAAATGTAAGAAGACAACAACAATAATGATTACGACAGTAAGACAAGCGATAACTCGTTTTATCAATATGATAGATACTTTACGCGTGGCGGTCTATATCTTTTATATATATATATATATATGTGTGTGTGTGGTATGTGTATGTGTATATATATACATATAATTATTGTAAGAAAAAGCAAGTGATATATAAGAGCTCTGTGCAGAGCCGACAGGAACATAAGTTACTCACACAAATAGCGCTTGGAACTGACAACTATTAATTAGGAATCAATACTTCTCAAGGTACTTTTACATTCAACATCGTGCGAAGCACTTCACGTTACACCGAGTAGAAATTGCTAGGCAGATTGCTCAAACTATCTAGAAATTTCCTCAATCGGAGTTTTTTCTTAATTCGGGATAATGCTATGAACGCGATCAATGTTGAACGATAGGAACAAAACTACAATCCGTTATTATGGGTTTGAATTTTTCTCATTTTTTTATCTTTCTAAATTGCTATACGATATACATGTATATATACATATAATTAATTAACTAGTAAGAACGTAGAAAGAGAGAGAACGTCGTGCTGCCGTGACTAATATCGTTGACAGATAACGACGAAATCGCAAGAAGATAATGACGATAAATCACTGCGTCGAAACATCTCTCAATATGTAAAACTTAGATTGACGTCGACGCGACATTTGAATGAGTTCAATACCCGATGTTGCAAGAAATATGTATTTTACGCCAACCATGATCTTTCGATTAGGCATAGAGATTACTTTTGCGTTCTTGCAACATCCATATTTGAACTCAGTAAAAATGCAGTGATGTCAATCTCTCGATCGTGTTACAAATCTCGTAAATTGTTTTTCGCGATTAGACGGCGTGACGAAGGAAGACTTTTTTCTTCCGCTGCGTCTCTCGATTTAATCGCGTCGCGTCTCTCACAAGTCTATGTCATTTCTTTCTTTCTTTTCTTCGCTCGAAAGAAGAAGACCGGTTCTTACGCTTCGCGATTGTGTCGCGAACTGACCACAAGCAAATTCGTTAAGCGCTCTCAGTCACGGCACCACATCGCACGCCTCGTTCGCCTGTCATCCGGCAAAAAAAGAAAATAAAGAAAAAGACGCGTGGTACTCATATACTTACAAATTCATTTCTTATATCATCTCCTATCCGTCCGGGGAAATGCTTCGCTCTATATACAAACTAATTCGAGGGGATTCAGGTTCTGAGATCTGCTTTTCTTTTCGGGGCACGAGATCGAGGTCCAAGGACTTTTTTTTTGTCGCTGCCCTGCACACATGTGCCTCTCGGTGGCAAACAAATATCTCGAGACACGTTAATCGCAATCAGAGCATTTAGATCGCAAAGATAGCAGTTTTTTTCATTTGCAGAACTCGAATCATATTTGGAGAAAATTGCAAATACATAGATTAAGTAATAAGATATGTCACTTGCCAGTTGGTTTAGAGCTGTCGCAGTTACAGAAGTATATATCGGCTTTATTCAAACTTCTGATCTGATTTAAAACTTAATAATTTAAAACTTTTCAGAGAGAAAGAGACAGAGAATTATACATTACTAATCCAATATATGTATTATGTTAAAAGCTTATACTTCACGTTTTTCCGAGTGTATAAACGTAACTCCGTCTTTTTTTCTAAATATAAGAAATAACAATTATGTTATATAAATATACAATTATAAATATTCCTTTTATTAAGAGTTATTACAAGATTATTGATAGATTCACTCAGTATATATTTTTAAGTTAATAGAATTGCTCTATCTGCTGTCTTTGCGAGATGCGATCAACAAAATAAATGCACGAGTTAACAACAATAGCACGTTTCTCACAAAGTAAATTTTGCGCGGATAAAAAACGCATATATACAACTGAGATATATAAATATACAATTAAACGTGTATTAAAACCAAGGACTACATGAAAAATATATAGCAAGGTTTTGTTTTGTTTTGTTTTATAGAAACGTGCACGCGAGATGTTCCGCGACACGTAAAAATGTTGCGAAAAAAACAAAAGCAAAGAAAGAACGAGAATTTCTGAAAGAATTAACAGTAACAATGAGTAAAACATTTAGAAGTTCAGAATACTGTCTGTTTTTTTTTTTTTTTCAAATATATAGAAAAAGTATACTAAGAGTTTCAAAATTCTTGCTGTAAACTACTACTAAAATTCAAAATAGAGATAAGAATGATTTTAAATTTTGTGATTATAAGAAATATAAAAAAAAAGGCAAAATATGAAAAACAAATATATAGAAATATTATAGGAATACGAAACTTCATAGAAATATAAATCTTATCACAGAAAAAATACTATCATTAAAACTATAACTTTAAAGATAGACAAACTCTTTCAAAAGATTATTATCAATACAAGAAAACCTAAAATAACATATAACGGTAAATTTATGTCTGCTTTTGTTCTTTCTTTGTTACGTCGCATATATAACGGTAAAAAAAAAAAAAGAAAAATGATAAAGAAGATAAATGCGAGGTTTAGCTTTGATTTCAACATAATGAAACTATAACAAAATATTTCTTTTTTAATTTTTTTTCTATTCTTATCGCATGACAATAAAAACCGACGACCGACGGTCTATTCGTGCTTTACATTAAAATTTAGTCACAAAGCATTAAAAATGTCGTTTTGCTTTAAAAAAATGTCAGTGGAACAAATGAAACGCTTTGATGACCTTGGGAAAGAAAAAATTTGCATACCTACCGTTAGTCCGAACATAAATCATTGTATTCAATGGTTACTGGCAAAGGACAATGCCGCCCTTAGATCAGTATTTATGGTCAATCTTATATTTAAGATCGTCTCAAGTTTATCTTTAAATGGTCTGCATGTCAATGAGACAACTCATGTGACATCTTAAAATATTAGTATCTTAAGACGATCTTAAATATAAAAATGGTCTATGAATATTAGCTTTACTAAATTATGCCTTTGGACACCGGAGGTAATACGTAACGCAAAATAATATATAACACTTTTTTTCTTCTCTTAAGGTTCTTGGATATTCAGTATTGGATTATTCCGACGTGTCAGAGAATAGCAAGGAATTAAATAAAATTTTGACATTTTTGCCAGTTTAAACCACTGTAATGAATATCCAAAAGTCTCGAGAGGCTAAAGAAGTAGAGAAATATTATAAATGTTTTATAGATGATCAGTTATTCAAAAGTTGTTGATGAACTTGTGTGTGCGACACGGTGAGACTATTATGTGAAAACTGGTTTATCAACGAAACTACATGCGCCGATTAAAAGCACAAGAAAGGAATTTTAAAGTGATCTTTGACGGAGCCAGGTGTACGAGTCTCCAAGAATAGAAGACGGAAATCAGAGAAGCAGATCTCAATTATGCGAACGTTTGTCTGCATGATCAAGGCGAAACTGTAGGAGGTAATGGAGGTAGAGATCGGTTTGAATTTTAAATCGCTCCCGTCGACGATCATAATGGTGGTTCTGGTTTGTTCACTTGAGAGAGGGTATATGTAAACGATAACAGCAATGTGTATTACCAATATGAAATAAAACAAAAAAACTTGTGTTGCGCACCGAGTCATTTCGAGAATTATCTTCTTGCAAGTATATACAAATATCTCGAGCGCGATCTTTTTTAATCATTAAAAAATTATGTAGTTGAGTTAAATTAAGAAAACGTTTAACAAACTTTTGAATAACGGAAGAGGAACACAATATAATAAATAAACGAGAGATATGCGGCAAAAAAAAATTAAAACGTATGTAGTCAAAAAAAAAAAAAAAAAAAAAAAATCACGCTAAAAGTTGCAGTAGCGACGATAGGCCAAAGTCAATTTTCTCTACTAATTTTACTGCGAGAGGAACTTGTATACCGGTAGAGATTCAACAGCTAAATTCTTTTCCTCTCCTTCGAGACGCAAGGTTCATTCCATTTATTCGTGTAAATATGCACACGAGTGTGTGTTCATCTCTCGTCTTATCAGAGTGTCTCTTTTGTCTACTTGATTACAAAACGTCAAACCGTCATCACGTCTATCGAACGTGAATAACGTATGTTTATCTCATTCATTTTCACCTTGACTATCTCTTCTTGAGTGTAGAGTTTATATATACAAGAAAAACCGCAACACGCAAAGTTATAAAGTGCATTATATCCTATTGGTTTTTGAAAAGTAAAATTTATTATGTATAATATCATGTGTGTTATAATACATTGTTCCTCGCGATATCAATATTATATAATATTTGAAAAAAAGCATATCCCTGAATTCGTGTTTGTTTACGTGCACATTGTACAAGTTGTGTGCACCATACACATACGTACGTATGTATATAACTTGTTGCCGTTCAATACACGTCCTTAACGATACAAGCTTATGATTAAATTATGATCAACCATTATTATCATTTCATCTCCGACTGCGCGACAATAACTTATGCATTAATGTACATGCGTAATGTACAATGCGCGTTAATAACTTATGCATAATATACATTCAAAAAGCATTTTAACATTAATTACTGCGAACAACTATGTAGAAATTTAACGACAAATTCGGTGGAAAATTTGAATAGCGAAAGGAAACAAACGCGGCTGCGCCCGATTCCATCTATCTTGATTTTTTTTTCTCACGTTCGCGATTACATGCGCCTTGGACAAAACAATTACGATCAAATGCTTGTATCGAAGACGCCGTAATGAGAACGATGTTTACATAAATTTTCCACGTACCTGTTGAGAATCCACTAGGACTTGTGATTGGCATTATGGGAGGTGGATGGCTCGGGTGAGTCTATTTTTTCGATTAAGGTGCCGTCTTTTGGGGAAATCGCCCTGCTGCTGTTATTGCTGTTGCAAGAATCCGATCTGGCAGTTGATAACGAGGACGATGATCGCATACCGGTGGACATAGACAGATCTTCGGGTTCCGTTTGCTCGGGCATAGCGGTGAACGAGGTTATCGGATGAACCAGTTGCATGACCGGAGCTAGAATTTGCCTGGAATTTGCATGAACTGACGCGATTTGTTGCAATTCGTCAACTTCTTTGTCGTTGATATGATCTTCTTCCTCTTCTTCCTCTATGTCACCCTCTTTACACGACGACGATACGGCATGCAGTTCCTGCGTTTCATTTCTGTTAACACCTTCGCATTTGTGATGTATCATATGATGGCGCCTACGGAACCGCGATTGACACTGATCACATTCGTACGGTTTCTGCCCGCTGTGTATCAACATATGCGCGTTCAGCTGATTCGAGTCGCTGAACTTGGATGAACATGTTGAGCATACATACGGGCGCTCGCCAGTGTGTACACGCGTGTGCCTACGAAGATTCGCCACTTGCACGAATTGCCGCTCGCAATATTTGCAGTGGTACGGTTTCTCGCCCGTGTGAAGTCGCATGTGCGTTTTCAGATGATGATCCCGGGTAAATCTGCGGAATTGAGGAGCTAGTAATACAAGGACAACATTCGCCACTTAATAATTTTGTGTAAAGATATTTTCACATTTTTGTCCTTTCTTTCTAAATCGATTACATATGACAATAATTGTTCAAAAAATTTTTCTCTCTGTCACACATATGAAAAAACTAAAAAAGATATGCTGTAAATTTCACGAATATAAACAGATAAAGAACACTTACTTTTTCTGACACTCCGGACACTGAAAGGGTTTCTCACCAGTATGCGTGCGTTCATGATTTTGTAGCACGTGCTTATATCCGAACGATCTGCCGCATACTTTGCAGTCAAAACTTTTCTGTCTGCCGTCAGCTTTTCCCGCAGCGGCACCTTCGGGACTCGGATTTGGACTAGCCGCATTTTCTAATGGCGGGGACTGCGCGCTTTCCGCGTTTTGTGTCACTCTTCTTCTTTTTGTAGAATTGGCGTTGTTATTGTTATTGTTGTTTTTGTTATTGTTGCTGATGGCAGTGTTATTATTGTTGTTGTTGCTGCTAGCTGTTGAGTTTGTACGTCTTAACGAGGATCTTGTGGTGAGAGGCGGCGACATTGTCGACGGCGGTCGAAGAGGAGAAGGAGGTGAAGATGAGGCAGCGGACGGCCACCCTGCGAGGAGATTTTGAGAAATGCTCTGACCGTAGAGCGACGGAGTTGTTGCGAATGTCGCCTGTAATGTTGGCGGTAATCCAGCGGCTAACAACGTTAATTCACGTGCCGCAAACAAATGATGCCACGACAGACCCATCCTGCCAGGATCTATCCTGGGAAACATTGCCTGCGATGTGTCATTGCGCAGCGCTTGTTGTTCAGTCGTAGTTGCTTCTTGCATCACGTGAGAGTGCAGCTGATGTTCTGAGCTCAATAAAAAAAAATAATAATAATAATAATAAGATTATTTAGCAAAATAATAAAATTTAGGTTTACGTACAACTTTATATCTGACACTTTAAACACCAGAATACTCGTACGTTTTTTTTTTTTAAAGGTGAGAAAGTGTGTAAATTTTTGTCATACATTCACATTCAAATCAACTAACTTTTACACATCCCGTTGCTGTTATTTCAAAGCATAAACGTAGAAATCAAATCCGCAGGAAATGTTTTCGTTTCAATATATATTTTTAAGAAATGTGAATATATAAATCTTAATTAATGTAAATGTCTATCTTAATTAATTAATTATAAGCCTGTTTTCGTTAAAAATCACGCAGTGTACGTAGATTTATTAATTATAACATATACATTGTTTTCAATACGAATATAGGTAAGCGAAAAGAAAAGTTTTGACGAATTTGATCAATTTATGCTGCCGAATACAGCGGTGGAGCTATTTAAAAAACCTATTAATTTATTTCAATATAAACTATAAACAATATATGATTTTTTACTTCTGATGTCAATTCAATATAGCTGTAACGAATATTGTAGGATTTTTATAATGTTTGGAATTAAACTCACACACAATAATTGTAAGAAACAATCATACTAAAGACATTTGATTATCCATATCTTAAATACACAGAACACAAACGCGAGTGTCACATAAATTATCAAAAGACAAATAAATTATTTTACGAAACTAAATTATCAAAAGACAAATAAATTATTTTACGAAACTTCGTTATAGCACAAATAATTTGACTAGTACAATGTCGGGGCTAAACACTGAAACATCTTCGAGCATGTACGATCTGTAACTTGTAAGATCTTTCGTGCTTTTTCGTTTTATATGCGCTCTCTCCCTCTCTCTCTCTCTCTCTCTCTCTCTCTCTCTTTCCATTCTTTCCCTCTCTACCACTTTCGATGTGCCCTCCCACATATATCGCTCGCACGTGAGGTTACTGGATTCTCCTCCATTCACTCACACTACGCGGGAGTTCATTCATAAGACTCCACGGCGAGTACCAACGCGTCTAACGTACCGCCTCTTTGGCTGCAGCCGAAACGATTTTAGGCCAGAACTTTATCGACGTGCAACAGTCTCATTTTATCGAAACATTATTGATATTGCGTCAACGGAAGCATCCAGTAATACGTCTTCTTATTTTATCTTTATACAGGGACCTCAAGATAAATTCGATAGATGATATGATACATTACTCTATCTCTCAGTTTATACAAAAAGCTACAATACAATCTAATCTTTTATTATTTAAGAGATAAAAGTGTATCTTTATTTTCTAACAATAATTTATGTGTATAAAAATACACGACTAGAACATTACGTTGATGTCCTCAAGATTATTAGATTTTTCACGTCAAACGTAGACGTTGTTTTTTATGCTCGAGTAACTGTTGTTACCACCCATATTAAAGCATTAATTTTTGATTTTTGTTTTTCTTAAAATTGCTCACGCATTGCACACGAAAAAACTCAGTTTTTGGAGATTCCTCTTACTTATCTCAACATTGATGTATCACGCGTATCTGTCTTTCTTTGTTAGCTAATATTTAGAAACGTTTATCACGCGCGATTAAAACATATTTAGTACATATTTAAGTACACTTTAATGAGCAAAAGAGAACACAGCAAGAGATAATCGAAACACATTATATTCAAAACATTTAAATTAGTTTTTAATGGTTGCGGCTAATTAATAGATTATGAAGAAAGACAGCGTCTCGTTAAATCAATAAAGACGCGTACAATAGAAGCGTCTCTTCCTTTCGAGATTTTTCCCTTTCTTTCCACCACCCTAAAATTCCCTTAACAGCGACCGAGATCCTTACAGCTTATCGCCGTTTCTTGGCAACGCGACGCGAAGAGTCCGCCCCCGCCTATGTCTACCTCCTAATTGGTCGCAACCCTTGTAGTTTTGCCTCAAGGTTTTACTCTCAGAAACCCTATTAGAGGTTAGACCATTCCAAAATAATCTATATATTTGCATTATTGCAAACAAATCTTATAGATTTTATGATCCGAGAAAAAAAATTCATTTATCACGAATTATGTGTGTGAATAACTTAGCAATAATTTTTGTTACGGATAGAAAACGTTTCAAAAAGTTTTTTTCTGACTTTAATGGCAGGCTTTTGAAATAACAATAAAATTATAGGTTTCGGTAGAACGGAAAAGTACGTGTCAAAGCAAAAAAAATGACCTGCTTGAACAGATGTTTAAAAGTCTTTATAGATAATGGTACTTTCTCAAAGAAAAGATATTTCCACATAAATTGTTCGCGCGGTTCTTGTAAAAATTTCTATAGCAAGTGTAGTCTATTCTTCGAAATAAAATATTGTTTTAAAAATGCCGTTATTTTAGTTGTGTGTAAATCAAGTTAGCTCTACAGGATAATTTAAACCGCAAAAAGAGAAGATCCTTTGCGATTTGAGAAGAGCGAATACATAGAGAAATGCGAGAAGAGTTGTTACGAGAAAGACGCGTCGGACATTCCGAAGCAATATCGCGATGATTATTTTTAGACGTGTGCATCTCGCGTCGCGACGCTCGCGAAATCTCGATGGATCTCTCATCAGTTCGACGACTCTTTACGTCACTTCTTAGCGACTGGTAGCGAGTTTGCTATTCTATCAGGAACTTGTGGATGTTTACAATATGTCAGACCGTATCTTTGTGTTGTGTCAAAGCAAAAGGCAATTGTAGGCAATTGTAGATCCTGGCGATATGCCAAAATTCGCGTGACTTTTACAAATTGTATAAAGCTTAACTCACAGTAGCGTTTCTCTGTTTTCTCTCAATGTGTATCGTAATGCCATCTTTTACATTTGGTTTTGTTTTTCGCACAAAAAAAAACCACACATTTGGATTAAATGCGGAAAACAACAAAAAAGAGAACGGAAACAACGTGGTACAAATATGACGGAATATTTTCTGTTGTCTCGTATAATTTGTGTGCGTGTGTGCGAATGTCATTTATACAATTTTATTTAAAACTAAATTTTCACACAATTATTAAAAAACTATTTGCGATCTCAAACAGATGTTTCGGAGACACGATTGTTAAAGCGCCTAGAAGGAGCAACGTGCGAGAGTGTAAAAAAGATGTGTGTTTAGAATTTGAATTGAATGTTGTTGTCACAAAATGATACACACACACGTTGAGATGATTACGAATGGACTGCGACGATAAAATTTAAACAACATATCATATTAGAAAAATTATAATTTATGAAACACATAAAACAATGACGTAAACAAACGAATAATCAGAAGTTTTGTGAAAATAAAAACACATACGGTTTGGAAACAGTTTTTTCTCTTGATCCTCTCGATGCTCCATCCGTAGCGCTTACATGAGTCGTCAAATAATTACCTGCGTGCGTATGCATGGGATGTATTGACAATCTGTTGCAATGAGATGGTGCCATACTACGGTTCCTTCTTCCTTGGATGTTCCATCGACTCGTGAACGGCACGTGAACACTCGTAATGACAGAATGAGACTGCGACACACCAATGGCGCGCTTAAAACTAAAGACGATCACTGTCCTTGATTGTGTTTTCTCGTTTCTCCTTTCGTATCTTTCCGACGAAAGAAGAAATGAAGAGCGTTCTTCTGAAAACGCTCCATACAGTAGTTTTGTTTTTATACGACTGAAAACACTCGCGGTACAACAAATGTAGGATAAAATGCACGATTCCGAGTTACAGAGTTTACATCTAGAGCGTATTGGTTTTTATTTGCTTTATTCTATAAACAAGTCTCTGATTACAAAAGCAACTGACCGACAACACCAACCAACGATGTTTCTCTGGGCTGACCTAACCCAATACTAAGTGACAACCAGAGTTGCGCTCCTAGTAGTGAAATATCTCCCACCCTTGCACGCCGCTTCATGTTCGCCCCCCACTACCGAGCGGTTCTCCATTTCCCCACCAAAGCATCACGATGCTCTACCCTCTCGAATCGCAATCCAGGGTGCGCGAGTCGCTTCGTCGTTGCGAGGGGTTAGAAACGAGGTGCAGGAGTGGGAAGATGGAGTACGAAGGTCGGAAGGAAATAGATAGAAGAGAGTAGGAGGTAGGAGGAAAAGATAGACGGCAGATGAGAGCGCGTGAAAGTATGAGTCCTGTGAGGAAACGAGTGAGAAAAAACAGCGGGAGAGTCAGAAAGGGACACATGCGTTGTTGCGTAGAAAGAGCAAGCGCAAGTGTAAGAAAGAGAGGAATGTCCGAAAGACAGGATGAACCTGCGACCGTGATCCTTTAAAGGTAGGAATTAGCTTCGCTCGGAGCGCTTTCTCTGTGAGAAATAGAAAGAAGAAGAAAGTGTGTGAGACTCAGAAAAAAACAAAACGAAATAAACAAAAAAATAAGAAAAATGCAAATAGTATGCACAACGGGATCGATAATATTTTTTCGAGAGAATAGATGGTAGAGACATATCTTAGAAACTTATTTAATAATCGTACTTATGTATTTCTACAACATACTTTCTTCCTCCAATTTACGAAACTAAATAAATAAAATTTGAAAATCGACATGGCTTTTTCTCTATTTTGTTTTACTGTCTCTGATTTGCAATAATTAATATAGTCTAATGTTTACATCGTTTGTATTTGTATACGATTCTTGAATAGTGTTTCTTATTTTATAATGCATCAATGAACATATATGTACATACTATACAATATTCTTTTACAGAATTATGGCTTTTGTAATAATTGACAATATTCCGTACGTATACGAGCTTTGCGCAAAAGTTTATTATAGCTGTCAATATTTCAATGCGATCGATACAAATTGCGATACATTGCATTCAGAAAGTCGTTGCGCGATAAGAATCATACATATAAAATATTAAAAAATGCATAAATGCGTAGGATAACACAAAGCCTTGGTTTTTTTATATATATAAAGCGCCGGACTTGTTTTAAAAGCTCAATAAAAAAATTCAGAATTTGCAAGAATATTAACATATATAAAATATTGATTATATGATGGAATATCATACACATACATACACAATTTTGTTTTATATACATATATTTTATATACATAAAGCCTTACATGTATAGTATCTTATATATATTTTATTTCAATAAAGAAACTTAGTTCTCTCAAATTATATTTAATAACATGATTACATAAACAAACATATAATTGTAGAATCAGAAAATCAGTTCTCTTCAAAGTAAGCAAAATTATGTCGTCTTCTGATTATGATAATGCTACACACGCGACGCTTAGTAAGAAAGTCTCGTCTCGCTTTCTTCTGCTATTTTCTTCACAAATGGAGCCCGCTCCGCGGAAACATGCCCTCCGCGGCGATACGGTTACCCCCGCGGGGATCGTTTTCTCTCTCTCTCTCTCTCTCTCTCTCGCGCGCGCGCGCAAAAGGGGTGTGCGGAAAGAAGTAGACAAGAATACACGCGCGCGTGCTGCAGCCCTCTTGCTCGCTCTTTCATCTCACCTGCTCGCGCGCCGGGCGTGCGCAGCGCGTGCCTGCAGCCGTGAACTCATGTCGAAACCACACCATCACACGCACGCTTGTTCGCGATAAAAAAAAGTGGAAGAATGCCTCTCTTCTATGCGTATACTGGGTGTCACGCATGTACGTGCCGTACGTGCCATAGACAAGAAAGAGGCATGCACACACAGTCCCCGTATACAGCTACATACATATACAGAGATGGAGTCCCAGGCACTCCACTCTGTCAGCCGCCTGTCGTCGCCGTGGAGGAAAGACAGAGGTCTGCACGAGCGAGCGAGAAGGTGTAGGGACGAAGGCCGATCAGAAGAGAAACAAAAAAAAAAGCCAAACAGGGAATCAAGTCTGGATTTAGAACGATTGTCGAATTAGCAAAGCGGCCGATTGACAGGAGAGACTCCTTCCTTCGGAAGTGATATCAAAAATATTGTTTTTTCTTTCTTTTTTTCTCGTATTCGCACTTATATGCGTTACAGATGAATACGTGATGATAGTGATTTCTGGCTGTTCACACACAGAGACGGACACATATATTTTTCTATTTCAAATGATCAATTCAAAAAAAATTTGACGTTAATAAAAATAACAAAATCTTGTGCGTTATGTATCTACTACATGTTAAAATTAAAATTTTAAGGCTGATGTAGTTTCTAACTAACGAAGAATTTTAACTGGTAAATACGAACCGAAACGCTGGATGTTCGTTCGGAATTTTGCAATTTTATTGCAATATAACTTTTAAATATTATATATAATATATATATATATATATATATAAATTAGATAGAAAGAGAAAATAGAGATATTTCTCATATACGTGATGCAAATCAAATATCCTAAGACATATGAATTGAATTTTTAATTAAAATAATCATGTGTAGTAATTTACACTACTAAAAGATAAAAGCATAAGAGGAGAAGCGATTGCTTTTGATGACGAGTTTTGAATCATGTCGAGCTACCAAGCAATCGATGCTGTTAAACAGGCGCGTTTTTAAGACTGGTAAAATTTCGGTGCAAGGACAAAGATGAGAGGGCCCTTTAATTATTAATAATAATAATAATAATAGTAATAATAATAATTATTATTATCATTATTATTATTATTGTTATTATTATTTATTAAAGGCAATTGGACAAAAGTTTTTAATGATTTTTTATTTGTATGCAAATTTAGAAACGAACACCTCTTCGAACTTTAACCGACATAAATTTGTTTGCAACATCTTCCAAATTTAAATTAATCAAAACATTTTTTTCAATTGATAATAAAGTTAGATCAGATGTTCTTTCCTGTGTCATGGTACTTCTTAAATAACTTTTAAGTCTCCTTAATACACTAAATGATCTTTCGGCATTCGCAACTCCGATAGGTAATGTTATGAATATTATAAATTTATAAATGTTTATCATGCACCGAGGGCCCGCAGATCCCGGGGCATCGCACCGGTTGCACCGACGTTAAATACGCCTCTGACTGTTAAAAGATCTTTTTTATGTTTGATGAATGTTCTATGTTGTGAGATTTATCGGATGAGGGGTGACGAGAAGAGATGGAATATACATACACGCCGTATCCAAAGAACGTGCAATACAAATACGACGCGAAAGTACTTCCGCATACAGACCTGACAAAATATTATGAAAAAAAAACCTCGCAGGTAAACAACCGAGTTTCATGTGAGTGGCGCAATATAGATGAAGAATAGAAAATCATTCTCTTCTCTTTCTTGCAAATTACGTCTATTCCATTACTGTGTAAAGTGCAACGAAATATAAACTCTTGCATAATGCAAATTGTTCAAAGTTAAGAGAATCAAAATAACGAATAATAGATTCTACATTTTTTTTACTGTCTCGTTCCAGCTTATACTTGCCGAACGTTGCGTGAATGTCGACGACTATCTCAATCATGACTAATCATATTATAGGTAGTTTAACCCTTTTGATGTGGAAAATATCCACTTACTTAATAGCAACTTAGTGACAATTATTACTTTTGACCAACTTGATCGAAAAAATGATCTGCTACTTGACAGGCTGCCATTAGCCAGAAACCAGGTATTTAACTCTTTTGTATTTGCTTGTATTCTAAACATTTTTTGTATTATATAGTAAATACACGATTCCTTACAACTTAATTCCGTATAATTTAATGTCACGGACTCAATATTTAAATACTATACTATAAGTTTGTAATAATATTTATTATTATTATATACGCGTACACGTATGACATTTCGCAAAAAAAAACAGATTAGAAATGTTGCATTTATTTTTAATGTAAGAATTTCGTACGATATCGGTAGTTTTTAAAAGTACGCAAGTATCTTCTTGGCTCTCTCTCTTCATGTGAACGAATATGCTGTTATTTGGTGAAAACGGTTAGAAACGGTTTTGCGTTTTTTTACGTTCTTTTTTTTAGGAAGTCGTGCAAAGAGATCGAAATATATTCAACGGAATTTCTCTTCTTACGCGGTCATCTACCGTATGCAGAATCGACCAATCTATCCCCTAATCTGACCGTTGTGCACGTCAAACCACTTTACATAGAGATCAATGCCGCGGATCGCATCGATATCTTGATCTGTAATCGACGAGCGACGGTTAGCCGCGGTTTTTCGCAGCGGAGAAAACAGCCGATTTGGAAACTTCCTTATGTCGCTCAAGCAATGTTTTTTTCTTGCGATCGTTTCAATCAGATATCGATTGTACGTTTCACAAATATTTTTTCAGATATTAAAACGCTCCCGTTTTTCGAGGCACTGTAAGTTTTTGTGCTGAGAATAGTTGAGAGATCAACAAAGAAATTAATCAGCTGTTCGTTCCCGATGTTAGTATTATGTCACGGTAAATATTTTCAGAACACTGTTTTTATTGTGATAAACAAAGTTTGGAGTGAAAAAAACAATCAATGTTGATATAGCGCAAAAGTACATTATCACAAAAATCCAATCGATATTTACTCGAGATGCAAATAGCAAATAAAATAAGAATTTTTTTTTATATTCGTCTCAGTATGACATAAACTTTTTAGTAAAGTGCTTCTCTAAATGAGTTCGTGACGCGAGGTCTGAGACCACCGCGACGCGAGGTATGTATAACGCGACGGCGAGTGAGACGGTAAGTCGCGACGCACGAATGTATTACCGAATCTTCTAATTATCAGATCCCAGTACCACTTGAAATGATCTAGGCTAATAATAGCGGAGCACTGTCCTCTTTTCTGCATTAATTCGGTGCTCGCCCACTGGCGAACATGTGGTCTGCGAATAGACACGAGATGCGGTCCGACGCACCAGCTGGTCTAGGAGGAAGGATGT